CACTGAAGGTAGGACAAGAAGTAATGGATTTAATTTGCAGCAAAAAGATTTAGGTTAGATAGTATGAAAAAAAATTATGTTTATGTATAAGCTAGTTAATCATAGAATCATAGAATATCAGGGTTGGAAGGGACCTCAGGAGGTCATCTAGTTCAACCCCCTGCTCAAAGCAGGACCAATCCCCAATTAAATCATCCCAGACAGGGCTTTGTCAAGCCTGACCTTAAAAACTTCTAAGGAAGGAGATTCTACCACCTCCCTAGGAAACGCATTCCAGTGTTTCACCACCCTCTCAGTGAAAAAGTTTTTCCTAATATCCAACCTAAACCTCCCCCACTGCAACTTGAGACCATTACTCCTCGTTCTGTCATCTGCTACCATTGAGAACAGTCTAGAGCCATCCTCTTTGGAACCCCCTTTCAGGTAGTTGAAAGCAGCTATCAAATCCCCCCTCATTCTTCTCTTCTGCAGGCTAAACAATCCCAGCTCCCTCAGCCTCTCCTCATAACTCATGTGTTCCAGTCCCCTAATCATTTTTGTTGCCCTTCGCTGGACTCTCTCCAATTTATCCACATCCTTCTTGTAGTGTGGGGCCCAAAACTGGACACAGTACTCCAGATGAGGCCTCACCAATGTCGAATAGAGGGGAACAATCACGTCCCTCGATCTGCTGGCAATGCCCCTACTTATACATCCCAAAATGTCATTGGCCTTCTTGGCAACAAGGGCACACTGCTGACTCATATCCAGCTTCTCGTCCGCTGTCACCCTTAGGTCCTTTTCCGCAGAACTGCTGCCTAGCCATTCGGTCCCTAGTCTGTAGCTGTGCATTGGGTTCTTCCGTCCTAAGTGCAGGACCCTGCACTTATCCTTATTGAACCTCATCAGATTTATTTTGGCCCAATCCTCCAATTTGTCTAGGTCCCTCTGTATCCTATCCCTGCCCTCCAGCGTATCTACCACTCCTCCTAGTTTAGTATCATCCGCAAATTTGCTGAGAGTGCAATCCACACCATCCTCCAGATCATTTATGAAGATATTGAACAAAACCGGCCCCAGGACCGACCCCTGGGGCACTCCACTTGACACCGGCTGCCAACTAGACATGTAGCCATTGATCACTACCCGTTGAGCCTGACAATCTAGCCAACTTTCTACCCACCTTATAGTGCATTCATCCAGCCCATACTTCTTTAACTTGCTGACAATAATACTGTGGGAGACTGTGTCAAAAGCTTTGCTAAAGTCAAGAAACAATACATCCACTGCTTTCCCTTCATCCACAGAACCAGTAATCTCATCACAGAAGGCGATTAGATTAGTCAGGCATGATCTTCCCTGGGTGAATCCATGCTGACTGTTCCTGATCACTTTCCTCTCATGTAAGTGCTTCAGGATTGATTCTTTGAGGACCTGCTCCATGATTTTTCCGGGGACGGAGGTGAGGCTGACTGGCCTGTAGTTCCCAGGATCCTCCTTCTTCCCTTTTTTAAAGATTGGCACTACATTAGCCTTTTTCCAGTCATCTGGGACTTCCCCCGTTCGCCACGAGTTTTCAAAGATAATGGCCAATGGCTCTGCAATCACATCCGCCAATTCCTTTAGCACTCTCGGATGCAACTCGTCCGGCCCCATGGACTTGTGCACGTCCAGCTTTTCTAAATAGTCCCTAACCACCTCTTTCTCCACAGAGGGCTGGCCATCTACTCCCCATGTTGTAATGCCCAGCGCAGCAGTCTGGGAGCTGACCTTGTTAGTGAAGACAGAGGCAAAAAAAGCATTGAGTACATTAGCTTTTTCCACATCCTCTGTCACTAGGTTGCCTCCCTCATTCAGTAAGGGGCCCACACTTTCCTTGGCTTTCTTCTTGCTGCCAACATACCTGAAGAAACCCTTCTTATTACTCTTGACATCTCTTGCTAGCTGCAGCTCCAGGTGCGATTTGGCCCTCCTGATTTCATTCCTACATGCCCGAGCAATATTTTTATACTCTTCCCTGGTCATATGTCCAACCTTCCACTTCTTGTAAGCTTCTTTTTTATGTTTAAGATCCGCTAGGATTTCACTGTTAAGCCAAGCTGGTCGCCTGCCATATTTACTATTCTTTCGACTCATCGCGATGGTTTGTCCCTGTAACCTCAACAGGGATTCCTTGAAATACAGCCAGCTCTCCTGGACTCCTTTCCCCTTCATGTTAGTCCCCCAGGGGATCCTACCCATCCGTTCCCTGAGGGAGTCGAAGTCTGCTTTCCTGAAGTCCAGGGTCCGTATCCTGCTGCTTACGTTTCTTCCCTGTGTCAGGATCCTGAACTCAACCAACTCATGGTCACTGCCTCCCAGATTCCCATCCACTTTTGCTTCCCCCACTAATTCTTCTCAGTTTGTGAGCAGCAGGTCAAGAAAAGCTCCCCCCTAGTTGGCTCCTCTAGCACTTGCACCAGGAAATTGTCCCCTACGCTTTCCAAAAACTTCGTGGATTGTCTATGCACCGCTGTATTGCTCTCCCAGCAGATATCAGGAAAATTAAAGTCACCCATGAGAACCAGAGTTAAGCTTTGGAATAGGCTTCTAAGGGAGTCTGTGGAATCCTCATCATTGGAGGCGTTTAAGAACCGGCTGGACAAACACCTGCCAGGGATGGTCTAGGTTTCTTTGGTCCTCTTTTAGCATTTGGGGCTGGACTAGATGACCTCTCAAAGTCCCTTCCAACCTTATTTTTCTATTATTTCTATGATTTCCCAAAGCACGGGACATGCAATTGATAGGAAGGGGCAAAGGACATGAAAATGTCCTTGGGTATATGCATCTTTCCTGTGCCCTGTTTCAAGGCACTGAGTCAGGGGACCAAAGGTCACATGGCAACAGCCCAGAGGTGGGGCTTACTATAAGAGGGAGCCTTTTCAACCAAAGGAGAAGGAGACTTGGCTGGGGTCCTTGCTACACCAGCTGGGAGATACTGTAGGTGTAGATGTCTCTGCTGGGAAAGACTTTAGGAAAGAGGAGGTTTGGGGGAGGAACTGTAGAATGTGGGGAGGAGGGCTAATAGATGTGTATATAAGTTGCCATTGGGCTGTTTTCCTGAAGGGAAGGCAGGACATCGCATTCAGTAGTCTGGGAAATGCGGCAGTGCACCCATGGTTGAACACAGAGCTCATTTCTCTACCCTTCTCCAGGACAGCTGAGCACACATCATTCGGTTATTCACTTTTGAGTCATGAGTGCTGAATGAAATCAATTTGAAAAAGAGTTATTACCTTAACAGGCAGTAAACCTTTCTGCCTTGACTGCAAACAATCATTAAAAGCCTTTATTAAATTTTGCATCTGTTCTGTTCACCACTTAGCCATTTCTTTTCATTCTGAAGGATTATAACCAAGAATGAATGAGTCTCCTCCAAGATGGTCAGGACACAATAAATCTATGAAGTAACTAAATAATCCTTTCCTCCACATACACAGATTTATTTTTTACATTTGCTAAAAATATTTGCTCTCTTACTTCCCCATGACATCAGGCTTTCAGCCTGTGAATAATGATGCTCGACATCAGGCAGCTTGTTAAAAAAAATATCCAACAACAATTGGACAGTGTTCAATGCCTTTCCCAACTAAAATCCATATTCCTCTCCCTCACAAACTCATCTTCCCACTGCAGTGCAGTGATGTGTGCATTTCAGAATAACCAAAATGGACAATTTCAGGTAAAGGGTAAATTAGCCAGGTTCTCCCCAGTACGAGGTAGCAACTATTGTTCACTAGAACAGGACCCCTAGGCACAGTGAGACATGCGTTTGTCAGACTGCATTATTATGGAAGCTCGCTGTATTTGAAGAGGAATGTGAAAACAATTCAAGAGTTCCTGGTGGTGGAAAATGCTGCGGCCTTCCTCTTCTGCCATTTAGGTCTCCGTTAGTGTGTCAAGCCTTAGCTCCAGTTTCTCGGCTGGCTCCCACGCCATTTCCACTGCCAGATTGATCTGTCCTGATCTTCAAAGCTGTAAATATATCAGATCAGGTCCCAGCTATATTAGAGACCTCATTTCCATCTTCAGACTGCCAAAACCACAGCCCGGAATGATGTATGTGAGGGCTAAGGACAAGGCATTCTCAGTTGAGGGGACCCAACCATGGAATTAACTAACTTCCAAGAGGAGATTAGAGAAATCCAGAGTGGCCAAGTTTAGGAAACACTGCCAAACTTCCTTATTGTGAGAGCTTTTCCAGCATAACCAGAATGACATTCACAGCATCAGCTACAACCTTCTTCCCTTCTAATTACCAAAGAAAAAGCTTTACCCCAAACAGGGAGAAGAGCCGGCCACTTAGGCTGCCATTGAAAACAAGTTTTAATGGTGGTCTAGACCTTTGTGATGACACATTTGTGTTTCTTACATTGTAAAGTATGACAAATGGGGATAGCATATAAAGCTCAAAAAAGGTTTGTTTTATAGCAAATACAGTACTTCAGCTAGCATGAGCTAATGCCGTGAATTCAGAGTGACTCCAGAAACAGCTTGTTTTTATTCTATAGTAATTCCAAGAAATTTGTTTCAGTCAAATGTTTTGCTGATTCAAGTTAAAGTGAAGTGCACAATTTGCAGTCTGCACAGGCTTTGGACCTGATCTTGTTAACTGCTCAATGCCCTAAAAATCCTACCTTAAGGCCCAATCCTTTAAGATACTAGGGCCCTCATGTATGAGGTATTAAATGCCTGCAACACCTCTGTGATGACCCTGCCCCTCATCCAGGAAGCTTTACTGTTGACTTCATATGAAAATAACCCAAAACATTGCACTAACCGTATGGTGAAATATAACATTGTTAATATAACATTTTTAATATAAAAGGGTGAAATATAACATTTTTAACAACAGAATCAGACCCACAGTATTTCAGAACCAAGGGTCCTCGGCCCCTTATAAAATCAGGCTCTTTGTCATTTGCACCTTGAATTGTGTGAAGACACTAAATTTCATTGTGACTTGTTTTCTTGTCTTTTAGCTGGATACAGAGAAGACAAAATTGAAGTTGGAACGTTGGGCTTCCAGGGAAAGTGGCAGTGGGGGCTGGAAAAGTGAAGCAATGGAATCAAGCGGGGACTGTGATGATGAGGATGGATGTCAAGGATCTGGTGACAGAATTCACACAGCAGGTAAATGCAGGGAAAATGTTCTCTGAATATTCATTCACATTTTAAAGCAGGTTTCAACTTAGTGTTTTGGAGCCTTTCCATGAACATGGGTAAAGAAAAACAGGATGCTTGTGGAAAGTGAATTTAAACTTATATCTCAAATATTTGCTGAAAGTGAATTTCAAAATTCCATATTGGATTGTAAATCTGAAATTTGCATTGTGTTGGTGACTTACATAATCAAGTTTTTAACAAAAGAAGAGGCACTAGACAACTAACCAAAACAACATAACTTGCAAAGTTGAAATACCGAACATTTGCAACTGCAGCAGGTTGAAAAAATGTCAACTTTTTTTCTGTGGAAACTGAAACCTTGAGCAGAAATGTATTGATTTTGAGGGGAAAAAAAGGGTTTTCATGACCCCCACCGAATGGTCAATAACCTAGCATTTAGAAAACTCACCTGAGATGTAGAAGACCCAGGTTCAAGTCCTTGCTCTGGTGGGTTGGTTGTGTGTGTCTGTGTGTTTCTCATGTCTTTTCACAAAGAAATTTCAAAAGGTCTCATTTTTGTTCGTCAGAATGAAAAAAAATGTCAAAACCTTTACATTTTTCCTGATACAAAAATTGCTGCTTTTAGCCAGCCCTATTTCCAACAAATGTTTGGTGAGGTATTCAGATGTGGAGAAAAGTGTGTTTATTAAAATCAGAAATAATTTGAATAACAAATAAATGTAGAGATTTTCCATATTCTTCTCACAAATATTTTATAAACAAAGGTTGGGAAACATAGATGAATACATTGTCAATTAAAAATTATTTGCTCATCGATTAATAATTTATTGTTTTTGTATTGTATCTGACTTGTGAAAAGACTTCTTCTAGATGCCCCAGATGCAGGAGATTATAGCGATTAAAGTTTTAAGTAATATGTTTTTTGTCTTCATGTGGTACATTATAAACAATAGCCAGGTGCTAAATCATTTTCAGTTGATAATTAAACTATTTATATATTGTAGTATTGCCAAAATATACAATGGCTCTTTTGTAGTTAGAGTTCAAAAATGAAAAAATAGAAGCTTTTGAAATTTGGTTTATTGTTAACTTTAGTAATGTGAAATAAGGAAGCAACATAATGTCTCCTCCTTCCTTTTAGCAATCGGTTGAAATAAAATTATTTATGATGAGATGGTTGTGGATTAAAAAGAATTAAATTTGCATAATTAGCTCTCCCATTGATTTGGCTGGGATTATAATAACTAAAAATATAATTACAATTAATTTGACCAAATGCTTTGGATTCAGAACAGTAAGAGTAGCTATTCCTTCTTGTGAAAACTGTAATAGTGTTTTATAATTAATATATTATATTGTATGCAGGTTACTAGCAGTAAATTTGTTTGGCATATCTAGATGCAATTAAGTGATAAAATGAGATTAGTCTCATTACAAAACGCCTTTGCTTTAGTAGAATGTTAAAATATAAAAACACTTCAATTTCATTTAATTTCCTCTTGGTATGTGTCTGTAAACTATGGTGCTTTTTAATTGCAAAGTTACATTACACAACTTGAGATCTACCAAGAGTGCTCTGATTATTGCTTTGTAGATATGCAGTGCAAGAAATTTAGCTCACTTGAGAACTTCTAGTGGCAAAGCACTGAATAGGAGCCTGATCCAAAGCCCACTGAACTCAATGGGGGACCTTCCCATTGACTTCAGTGGGCTTTGGATCAGGCCTTAAATGACAACTCTAAAGTATCAGTCTCAATGAATGGTGTTGCATGTGATTAAATGTAATAAAAAGGGCTTTCAAAGGGTAAACGTCTTTGGCAGAGCAATAATAATAATGATGATGATTTTAACACCAAGTCTATGCAGAAGTCTCCCTAAAGAGGACATATCTAAGTATCTGACTCTGAAATGATGAAACCAGTATCCAGCACAGTACACTAAAATAGTCATCATTTATTTAAAATCGATATGAAAATAATTTACAAACATTGTGCTTACAGTCATGCTCTATAGATTGAGAAGCATTGCTGCTGTGAAGCATAGTGTATGGATTACTTACAAATATTTTTTTGCAATACTATTGAACCATCCTTCCCTACCTTCCTACCAACAAAAACAATAAATCCCCAAAGCACATGGATTTCACCAGCATCTAGATTACCTGCTTCAACATATTCAACTGTAGGCCGACTAAAAGTCTCCCTGACCAAATGTCATTATCTTCCCCAGTTCCCACTTTCTCTAGAAAGCGAGTTAGAGACCAGATCCTGATCTGGTTTAAATTTTTGTATTTATATTGATTTTGATTTACTCTATCTGAGGATCTGATCCCATGCTTATATATTCCAATTCTGCACTCAGATATTCATAGACAGCTCCTCAAGCTTTTATGCATAACCAACCAATATCAATATATTTCACAGTTGTCTGTCTACACTTTTCAAATCCTGAAGTTTTGATTGCCATTTTTCAGCTATCTAGAATCTTTTCTGAATGTCAGTTAAATTCCCCAGTTCCCTTCATCTCTTCCATTAAGATTTGTACCTGAATACAGTATTATGTAGTGCTCGTATTTTGTTTTTGGCAGTTGCATATAAGCCTTTTATAGTCAAATCCATTATTAGCTCTAAAGACCACTACTTATACATTTAAACATACTATATTTAATTATATAGCCCGTACCACATGTGTTTACTCAGATGACTTCATACCACTGAGATAAACAAGTTCTGAAGAATTATATATGGTTATGAAGTGGATCACTGACCACAGGTGCCGCCTAGTGGTCAGGCAGGGTGTGGCAGGTTCTCTCTATTAACATATTAACATCTGCTTTGGTCCTGCAGTGTCCTGCCTCTTCTGTAACTCATCCCTCTGAGCAGGTCCCATGGTTATGTCCATCCCTTTCAGGGTATATAAAAAGTCCAGCAACAGGGTAGCCCTTTGGGTTAGGCAAGGGGTCTCTGGATCTCTGCCTAGGTTGAGGTCTGAGGATCTTGAACCTTCTGTCTTCAGGGCCTTCTCTCCTCTAGACTCCCAGTATTAGGGGTAGGCTTCTGCCTTCGGCACCTCCTAAGGGTTATTATGGGAACCCGGTCCCACCCTCTCCATTGGGTATCCACTAAAGTGCCGTACTTCTGCCTTCCTGGAGCACTTCCTGCCAGACCCTCTTTCCCAACAGGAAAAGTAAAGACATTAAATCAAAGAAAGTCTCAGACCTTCTGAGAATCACCAGTCTCTTCTCTGGGGTTTGGCAACATCATGACAGCCAGGACTCCAGAGCTCAGGGTGCAAGTCAGTTCATCTCCATTGTCTGATGCCCTGCCACATTGGCCTGTTCTTCTTTTTAGCTCTTCCTCCAAGCCATGCATGCTTTGCAAGTGGGTGGGGTAGGGCTGCCTGGGTCCAGACTAGCTGCTTAACCCCTTCCTTACTGGTGCGGGGTCACAATGATGAAATCCATTAAAAAGTTAACATTTTCCAACCATTACCACTTACCACAGGTATCTCACGTTCCAAGTATAGGGGAACGCTGTGGAAATAGCACTGTGACTCAGATAGCACCATATAGTAACTGTTGACATGTACTGACACTTTAACGACAATGCCTATTGATTGTTTGTGACCAAGGCTTTGCAAAGAAAGAATTAGAAAGAAGAAAGTAATCCGAGTAAATGTATAATAGGGAGGGGGAAACTTACTGTCAGGTCTGAGACCATTCAGAACATGTAGGTTTCTAGGTGTAGGTGTAAACCAACATCCGTCCAACAGGTGTTCGGCACTCTGTCCCCAGTCCAGCGGCACAGTCAGGGACCTGCTTAGCTTCAAGCATGTGAGCAGTCCTATTGATTTCAATGCAACTACTCATAAGCTTGTAGTTAGCATGTCTTTAAGTGCTTTGCTGCATTGGGGAAAGTGCTTGGCACCTTGCAGAACTGAGCCACAAAAGTGCATATCAGAGGCTGGATTGGCCCCTGGCAATCCAGCCCAAGTAAGGGACACAAGAGTGACAAGTAAGGGACAAGAGTGACTGTAAGTCGCAGTCGGGTCCTTCTTTTCCCTTACTTTGGGGAGAAAGAAAGATGTGTCTGTCCTTGTGCTAGTGGAGCTGTGCTGGCCAGCACACTCTGGGGCTCAATCAGCCAAGGCCCAACTAGTCTCTGCACACCTGCATGGATGGGGAGTAACAGCTGGTGGTGGTTGCTCTCCCCTGTGTGCAGGGTCTAGCAATGCAGGTAGCCCATGCAGGGCACTGAGGGGGCATAAGGAGACCCTGTTACTCCCCCAAACAGGAACATTAGCAGGCTCACAATTGAGCCTTACAGGAGCATAGAAACTCTAGTCAGGGTATTCATCATCTGGTTACCCATGAACTAAAACTAACCTGTTCAGTACCTGCACATTGGAGCCTTTGGGTCAGATTGGTCCCTGCATGAAAATAACCCACATCAGGGACTAGGAATGCTGCTCCCAAACAGAACAAGCTAGGTGTTCATCTTCCGCCTCCCAAAAAGCCTTGAAACACTGGATCTCAGAAATGAAGACATATTGTACCTTTGCACTAGCTGTTTGCACCCCACAGACCCTCTTCCAGAACTGTGCTTCCCCATCAATTGCTACTCTTGCAGCTCCACCCCAAAAAGGAGGGAGTCAGGAAGTGCAAGGGGAGGAAGAGCCTGAATAATGCTGCCTCTTAGGAATGACAAACGTTCATCAATAAGCCAAAATTGTATCTGATACAGCAAGCATTGAACAAATGAGCAAATGCTGCAATATCTGGATGGTCAGCAGGCTTTCAACAGTGAATAGAGAGTGTTCAATGAGTTTCTTCACCCAGCTATCTATTCAGATACATGATTTTGACAAACATTTATCAATACAATACTAACCATTTTCTTTCATAACTCTTTTTTCTAACTACTTGTAATACTGCTAAGCTTCTCTTCTTTGATAAGCCTTCTCCTGATGGTATATCCTTCCTATTGTCACATGGCATTTTACTTCAT